CTTCGGGTGGAGAACGCTGCCAAGCGTCTTTATTAAAAACCATCAGCTCTTCTTGTTGTCTGACTACGGTGCTTTACGTATTCACCACAAAATTTCTGACTGTTGCTAGCCTGAGCTGGCAGTCTGCTTTTCCACAAAGGCAATGACGTGCATTGCCAGTGGGGGATATTTCTGGTGTATCTGCGATTATTTTGGAGGGAACAAGTCCCGTAGAGCCCCTGCTACAGATGGCTACTGCTCGGTGCCCCAAACAGCCAGGAGCCAAGGGCTAGGGACGAGCCACATGCTGTTGGCATTCCCCTCGCGATTCAGTTTTGCAGGAGAAAACGGGCCCGGGCTCGGCGTGCCCAGCGCCTTGGTGTGCAGAACAGGCCCTTGCTGAAAGCACGTCCGCATCCCAAGCAGAGCTCCTCACCCTCTAGATGCAAAACTGCCTGTAGCACCGATGCATCGAGTACTCTTCATTCCCCACGTGTACCAAACGCTGCACCAAAGGACGATTACCTGTGAATGTTTTTCTTGAGCTGCTCTCTCCAGCAGCCTAATGACGCTAATTGTCTTCTGGGTTGCACGTCTAATGCTCTAATTTGTTTTAGAGCTGAAAGGAGTACAGTATAGTTCGTCTCGGAGCCAAGAGAGGGAAAGAAGGGAAAAAGCAGTGACACTCCGCAGATGGAGGCTGGAGCAGCTGCAGAGGAGGTGCGAGCCCTTTCATGTCAAAGGAAACCACTGCTCCTCGCCGTCGCAGTGAGCGTGTTTACGGGTGTGCTCTGTGCATGTCAAGGCACTTACTGGACCAGGTGCACTCGATAAAAGAAGACCAGGGACTACAACAAACTCATTCACCCACTTCTGAGGCAAGACACCGTAAACCAAAGAGCGAGTGGGTGGGAGGTTTTCTTGATACGCTACTTCTGTGTGACTTAGCAGGGAGAGGTCTGCACTCTATTTTGCTTAGACAACAAGACGGATAATAATTTAAAAGGGCAATTTCAGATCAAACTCAAAGTGCCACTTAGCTTTGCCATTCTTTAACATCCTAACTAGGATCAAGTGCTCTGCACTGCCTGGGCTGAATGCCACCAGCTGTAGGTGGGAAGTGCTGCGGGGGGATCCCAGCTGGGACACGGGCTTCCAGTTTCCTTTGAGGAGACCCAGCACTGCTGGGACGAATGAAGCCGTACAACAGCTGGAGAGCGTGTCCTTTCTCCGGCGCTGCTGCACGATGCCCCGAGCATGGCCGTGTTTTAGAGAAGTGCAGAAAACGAGCGGCCAGGGGTGGCAGAGCTCAGGTGAGCAGGGAGCTGCCGGAGCAGCGATGGACTGGAATGGCAGGCGAGAAGCCGTAGGACAGTGCTGCTGCTGCTGTTTCTCCATCTTGTGGAAGGTGGAAAGGAGTCCTTCCTGTTCTGTGCTGCTGCATTTTTGTCTCCTTTAAAAGACGGATTTAACATTAATCACACTAGGAATTTTCTTCTTGTGAGGAAAACAGGATATTGTTTCAGGATATTGGGCAACAAAGCTGTCCTTGAAAAGCAACTCTAAGCAGCCTTGCAGTCTTGCTACTGACTGCATTTGTTGTGGACACTAATCAAGTTTAAAGTCTCCCAGAGTGCAAGAGAGGCCACAGCAGAGCAATTCAAGTTCAGGTTTTCTGTGTCCCGTTGTAAACACTAAGGACCTGTAGTAATCTTAAAATATAATCACTAGCTCTGGTTTCTCTTGGAATTAATGTCTCTAGCAGGTGTAAAAGTCTAGCCCTCTCATCTGTCATGAACACGCACGTCCTGCTTGATAAGAGAGGTAGCATTAGTCCAAATCCAGGAACTCTTGGAAATCTCTTGGGAAAATCTGTTCTTTTGAGATATCCATCCTAGTTTCCTGACTAGGCTTTGGAAAAAGGTTTTCTGAACTTTTGGATTCACATTTCATTTTAACTGAGCTTCCAGGCTTCGAGTTTACCCATCATAGCAGCCCCGTGACAATGGATGGGGAAGAGAAGGCGTCGGAGCACCGTCCTCGGGGAACATGCAGGTCCTGCCTCCGTGGGATGATAAAGGCACGACATTGTTCAGGGGTGTGTTGGTGTTAACGGCCTCAGTCATTGTTCAGAAAATAGTATTTCTTAAGAAGAAAGTGTTTGCTGATAAGATGTTCAAAATGGCCAGTAATACGCCATAGAAAACCTTTGCCGTTGTGGTCATCTTTATGCTCATTTAGGTCAACGCTTCTTCTCACTCATTTGGGGTCCTTTCACTGCTCTGTCCTCCGCCTGCCGTCAGGCTCGCACACATCCCCCCGGGGACACAGACCATCCCTTAGCAAGGTTATGTCTCCGCAAAGTGGTCCCTAGTGCCCTGGGTGCAGATGCCAGTGACCGCATCAGAGAGACCTGCATATGCCGGCGTAACCAGGAGTTGAGGTTTTTCTTACGCTCGCTCAGCACACTAATTGCACCCATACGTGTTACCCAATGGTAGCGGAGCTAATTTCTTATTAAAATCAGTTGTAGGGGCACGGTGTAGCCAGTGAGTGGTGAGATAAATACAGTGATTTGGGGCATGAGATGATGTGTGGCCAGCAGAAAGAGGATGGTCTCGTGTTGTCTCTCCCAGGATCCCTGACCGAAGGGTGACTGCCACCTCCGCGTGAGCCCTGGGGGAAGTGGGAACCAAGGAGGACGGCATGGGGTGGCGGCAGTCAGAGGCACATGGCAGCAGGTAAGCTTGCCCCGCTGTTGCTAGAGAGGAAGAGGGTAACTGTGCTGTGCGGAGAACTTTGCCTGCTTCATCTGCTTTGGCCCGGCTTTTCTGCGTCCTGCCTAGAAAGACAAGGCTGCACCGTGCCGCCTGCCTGGCTCCAGCCCACATCCTAGCAGCTGTCACGCCTGATCTTCACTGCCCGGAGAAGGATGCTCTCCTTGGTGAGCTTGCCTAGAAATAAGGGATCCTTGACCACATGGAGTCCACACAGCAAACGTTAAGAGGCATCACACGTACGCTGTGGTCCTCCTTTGACCCTTGCACTGTGCCTCTT